TTATTCACCCGCCACACCTCTACCACCACCACCACCACACCCACGACCAGACCCCACACCCACGACCAGACCCACGACCACACGCCAGCCACACGCCCGCCACACCTCTACCACCACACTACCCACCACCACACCCGTCACCACAAGCCAGCCACACCCACCACCACCACACCCCTCACCCCGTGGGAAGTTAAACAAGTGAACATTTACCTGACATGCTGCCTCTCTTCACATTATGTATACTCAGTACGAAGATTTATAAAATACATAATTCCTATATTTAGAGAAGGAGGAGACGCAGTAACGAGAGCCAGGAGCTGAATATTGAATGTTGGATACACAAAGCTGTGATTGCTTCTCATAATACAATAAAAAATTACATAATGTAACATGAATCTAATTTAATATTAAACACGTAGGCTTAAAGAGAATGGTGAGGTGGCAGGGACCTGGGGGGAGGGGGGAGGGACCAAGCCAGGGTCCACACCTCACAACATGGAAGCTCACACCTCACAACATGGAGGCTCACACCTCACAACATGGAAGCTCACACCTCACAACATGGAAGCTCACACCTCACAACATGGAAGCTCACACCTCACAACATGGAAGCTCACACCTCACAACATGGAAGCTCGCACCTCACAACATGGAAGCTCGCACCTCACAACATGGAAGCTCACACCTCACAACATGGAAGCTCACACCTCACAACATGGAGGCTCACACCTCACAACATGGAAGCTCACACCTCACAACATGGAAGCTCACACCTCACAACATGGAAGCTCACACCTCACAACATGGAAGCTCACACCTCACAACATGGAGGCTCACACCTCACAACATGGAAGCTCACACCTCACAACATGGAGGCTCACACCTCACAACATGGAGGCAACGGGAAAAACCCGTAACAAGAACTATGCCTCTTCAACACAAGCGGAGCTAACTGCCATTGTTATGGCGTTAAGCTTCCTCGAACGAAGCACTAACGGTGCAGAGATTTGCACTGATTCTAAAGGAGCACTACAAAGCCTTAGTAAAAATCGGGCAGAAAATCTTGCGATAGTCGCTGAGATCAAGAGAGCTGTGAGAGTACTAACCAATCAAGGAAGAATCGTCAAATTCCTGTGGATCCCCTCCCATGTTGGAATAAGTGGGAATGAACGAGCAGATGTGCTGGCTGCTGAAGGCGCTGAAGGAGACCATATTGAATACTTCATACCCAAGACTCTTCTACAAATTATAGGTATTGTCAGGCAACATCACCGTGACAAGGTAACTGAGGAAAGGAGGATAGAAGAACAAATCAGTGAATCTGTACGCTGGTACAATGTGGCTGCAGCTGGCAATACCAATCATTATGGACAAAGAGGTGGTGGCCACAGGAGAGAATCAGTAATAGCAAGAATCCGTCTTGGATACAAATATCCATGGAGATTCAGAATGGAAACAATAGTTGAGCAGTGGAGTTGCAGAATCTGCGGTGAGAGTGACGGACACCGCCTTGACCACTACCTGAGAGAGTGTGGACATCTAAGAGTTATTAGAAGTATGTGTAAATAATAAACCCCACATTGAGTCAGGAAAACACTATTTGCCAAATATTGATACTGTTCTAAAAGATTCCCCCATTTTGCACCCGCAACATAAAGTAAGATTTTAAGGGTTGACGAATGTTAATCTTCTTGTTTGAGGAGCTGTTCACTTGAGACAGTTAAGCAAGTCCCAGCTGTGTCTGGGTACAAGTGACAGGATGAACAACCCAGCGGGTTTTCTTCCTAATTGGGGGAGTGTTGTACAAGCTGCTATGGCGGTGTGTCCACTCACAGGATGAGTGACGCTGCCCAATACTGTCACTATGGCGGTGTGTCCACTCACAGGATGAGTGACGCTGCCCAATACTGTCACTATGGCGGTGTGTCCACTCACAGGATGAGTGGCGCTGCCCAATACTGTCACTATGGCGGTGTGTCCACTCACAGGATGAGTGGCGCTGCCCAATAATGTCACTATGGCGGTGTGTCCACTCACAGGATGAGTGACGCTGCCCAATACTGTCACTATGGCGGTGTGTCCACTCACAGGATGAGTGGCGCTGCCCAATACTGTCACTATGGCGGTGTGTCCACTCACAGGATGAGTGACGCTGCCCAATACTGTCACTATGGCGGTGTGTCCACTCACAAGATGAGTGACGTTGCCCAATACTGTCACTATGGCGGTGTGTCCACTCACAAGATGAGTGACGTTGCCCAATACTGTCACTATGGCGGTGTGTCCACTCACAAGATGAGTGGCGCTGCCCAATACTGTCACTATGGCGGTGTGTCCACTCACAGGATGAGTGACGCTGCCCAATACTGTCACTATGGCGGTGTGTCCACTCACAAGATGAGTGACGTTGCCCAATACTGTCACTATGGCGGTGTGTCCACTCACAGGATGAGTGACGCTGCCCAATACTGTCACTATGGCGGTGTGTCCACTCACAGGATGAGTGGCGCTGCCCAATACTGTCACTATGGCGGTGTGTCCACTCACAGGATGAGTGGCGCTGCCCAATACTGTCACTATGGCGGTGTGTCCACTCACAAGATGAGTGGCGCTGACCAATACTGTCACTATGGCGGTGTGTCCACTCACAGGATGAGTGGCGCTGCCCAATAAACTCGCCTCTCGGAACAAAATTAAAAAAGAAAAAAATGAGAAAATATGAGTCATAAGAAGAATTCGAAGCTTCTCACTTGATATTCCCAAGCGCCGTGGAGCACTACGCCACGACCTGGCCAGAACCACGAGGCAGCGAGCCTTCCTGCATGCTTATAACTCTGGGCTTCAGTTGGAAGCCTCAGAACCCCTCGGGGATTCAGTGGAATCCCAGGTGGCATTGGTTCTGGCCGCGTGTGGTGGTGGCGGCGTAGGTTACCTTACCTTGAGGTGCTTCCGGGGCTTAGCGTCCCCGCGACCTGGTCGTCGACCAGGCCTCCTGGTTGCTGGACTGATCAACCAGGATGTTGGACGCGGCTGCTCGCAGCCTGACGTATGAGTCACAGCCTGGTTGATCAGGTATCCTTTGGAGGTGCTTATCCAGTTCTCTCTTGAACACTGTGAGGGGTCGGCCAGTTATGCCCCTTATGTGTAGCTGAAGCGTGTTGGTACACTTCGGCTAGGTAGCCAGTACCCAGCCTGGCTAGGTAGCCAGTACCCAGCCTGGCTAGGTAGCCAGGCTGGCGGCCCCCAGCCAGAGGGCGACACTCCTCCTCACTGCTCCTGCTGATCCTCCCAGCGATACATCATGTTAACCCGATTTCATTGCAAATATATGAAAAATGATTCTTAATGAAGATAAATTAACAAAATTCATTAATTCATTCAAGCACAGACCTTGTGGTGGCTACCCCCCCCCCCACACACACCGGGATACTTGATCATCCATCACACGTTCTGGGGGGAGCGTGACCCCTCAGGGGACCCCCCTGGGGGAGCACGACCCCTCAGGGGACCCCCTTGGGGGAGCACGACCCCTCAGGGGACCCCCTGGGGGAGCACGACCCCTCAGGGGAGCACGATCCCTGAGGGGACCCCCTGGGGGGAGCACGACCCCTCAGGGAACCCCCTGGGGGGAGCACGACCCCTCAGGGGACCCCCTGGGGGAGCACGACCCCTCAGGGGACCCCCCTGGGGGAGCACGACCCCTCAGGGGACCCCCTGGGGGAGCACGACCCCTCAGGGGACCCCCCCCTGGGGGAGCACGACCCCTCAGGGACCCCCAAATGTTCCAATGCTGTACACGTATCAGGTCTGTTCTTCACCCTCAATAAGAACAATAATACAATGAACATTATAACGTAAGAACATTTGCAATGTTTTTGTAATTAAAAGTATATTTATATTAATAATAATGTCACTACTAATTACCTCGGTGCATATACACCCACAAGTGTACTTGACTCATCAGTGTATACACCCACAAGTGCATGATTCATCAGTGTATACACACCCACAAGTGTACCTGACTCATCAGTGTATACACCCACAAGTGCATGATTCATCAGTGTATACACACCCACAAGTGTACCTGACTCATCAGTGTATACACCCACAAGTGTACCTGACTCATCAGTATATACACCCACAAGTGTACTTGACTCATCAGTGTATACACCCACAAGTGCATGATTCATCAGTGTATACACACCCACAAGTGTACCTGACTCATCAGTGTATACACCCACAAGTGCATGATTCATCAGTGTATATACACCCACAAGTGCATGATTCATCAGTGTATATACACACACAAGTGTACCTGATTCATCAGTGTATACACCCACAAGTGCATGATTCATCAGTGTATACACACCCACAAGTGTACCTGACTCATCAGTGTATACACCCACAAGTGCATGATTCATCAGTGTATATACACTCACAAGTGTATCTGACTCATCAGTGTATATACACTCACAAGTGTACCTGACTCATCAGTATATACACCCACAAGTGTACCTGACTCATCAGTGTTATCATTGCCGCCTAATAGCGGACTTGTCCGACTTCAAGATTCATTTTTATCCATCTAGAAAGATCGCAGACGACCCAAGCTGTAATTTAAGTTAAAAATAAAAGGGTCTTATACACAATCTTGCATGAAATTTGTCTGTAAAGTGATAAATTGTGACAGATTGCGAATGAAAATGGCGCCCAGACGAGCGGTGACACATCCGGGAACTTAAGGAGTGCAGCGACACAAGTCTAGACCACATGCAACGAGAGCTGCGAGTGGCCGTGGTACTCAGGTGCTCAGCCAATCAGCGACGAGCTTTCGGTGACGTCATGGACAGTCACTGAGCCCGGCCCAGGGAGCGGAGCCCGGCTCACTCTTTGGCTAGACCTCGGACAAGGAGGTTGTGACCTCTGGCGCTTGTGAAAACTGGCAGATTTGGATCTTTAAGTGGCGAGTTGAGCCTTTGAGGCCACAGCACTCCTACCACATGGCGGCGCCAAAGGGGAACCTTTCTGCTATACAGTTGAGTACAGAGTCGACGGTAAGGCTGTCGTAAAGAGCAGTGACGGAGTGTCACCGGCGGAGCCGTCCAGGGGCCAGATTCACGAAAGCACTTACGCAAGTACTTACGAACGTGTACATTTTTCCTCGATCTTTGACGGCTTTGGTTACATTTATTAAACTGTTTACAAACAGGAAAACTTGCCAATCAACTGTTGTTATTGTTATAAACAGCCTCCTGGTGTTTCGGAGCTCATTAACTGTTTAACAATTGTAAACAAAGCCGCCAAAGATTGAGAAAAGATGTACAGGTTCGTAAGTGCTTGCGTAACTGCTTCGTGAATCTTGCCCCAGGCTCTGACTTTTCTCTTCTCTTGTGACAATATTCATCAAGAAGTGTACCGGACTCATCAAGAAGTGTACCTGACTCATCAGTGAGGAGCGAATAAGTTTACCATTGTCTTGAACTGTTGTATTGGTCTTGATGACACTTGGTGGTCAATATGCTTGAACCACAACATTATACCACTAACATTATCATCATCGCATAATGAAATCACATTAACGTTATGTATGAGAAAATCTGAAGCCGTGAGGAGGATTCGAACCCACACACTTGGGACTCCCATGCGCCCGTCCTCATAAACAAAAGTCAAAAGTTGTTCCATCCACCCGCCAACCCCAGCTGTTTGTAAATGATAAACTGTTTACACACGACTCACAACTGCTGACGTCCGAACACTTCCGGAACAACTGTTTCACTGACGACTTTAGTTCGAACCACACCGCTGAAAATGCTTCACCCGCGTACTACAAATACAAATAATCGCCAACAGAACCTAAACACCTAACCTAACTAGTGCGTAAATATGCACAATATGCTAATATACAACCATTAATTTCATGAAAAAATTCCCGTTTTGAATGAACATGTTAAAATGTATGAATGCGTCTGTGGGGTCGACCGCTGAATGTAATGGACTTGAGTCGAGGACGGATTGCATAAACAAGGGGTTTGGCGGGTGCAAAGAATCACTTTTGGAACTTTGTTTGACGGGCTGTACACGCTTTACATCAAATAACCGAGTTCGAATCCCTATAACTTACTGATATTGTCCCTATGATCATTGCCATAAAAACATTGCAATTATATATCCATTGCATATATAGATCACGGAAACACACACACACGCACGCACACACACATTCGCCTGGAAAATATGTAACAATTGTTTGCAATAAACATTAGAGTTAAGTTGCAGTGTTGAGAGCGCGGGACTCTTCCCTCCTGTAAGGCTTCCTGCACATCGCAAATATACGACCTCGTAAATATCTCTGACGCTAATTACTGAAACATACGACATTATTTGTATAGAGAATGTTTGTTATCAACAGTGAAATGCAACGGTAACAGTGCCTGGGGAGTGTACAGTAACAGTGCCTGGGGAGTGTACAGTAACAGTGCCTGGGGAGTGTACAGTAACAGTGCCTGGGGAGTGTACAGTAACAGTGCCTGGGAGTGTACAGTAACAGTGCCTGGGAGTGTACAGTAACAGTGCCTGGGGAGTGTACAGTAACAGTGCCTGGGGAGTGTACAGTAACAGTGCCTGGGGAGTGTACAGTAACAGTGCCAGGGGAGTGTACAGTAACAGTGCCAGGGGAGTGTACAGTAACAGTGCCAGGGGAGTGTACAGTAACAGTGCCAGTGGGGAGTGTACAGTAACAGTGCCTGGGGGGAGTGTACAGTAACAGTGCCTGGGGAATGTACAGTAACAGTGCCTGGGGAATGTACAGTAACAGTGCCTGGGGAATGTACAGTAACAGTGCCTGGGGAGTGTACAGTAACAGTGCCTGGGGAGTGTACAGTAACAGTGCCTGGGGAGTGTACAGTAACAGTGCCTGGGGAGTGTACAGTAACAGTGCCTGGGGAGTGTACAGTAACAGTGCCTGGGGAGTGTACAGTAACAGTGCCTGGGGAGTGTACAGTAACAGTGCCTGGGGAGTGTACAGTAACAGTGCCTGGGGAGTGTACAGTAACAGTGCCTGGGGAGTGTACAGTAACAGTGCCTGGGGAGTGTACAGTAACAGTGCCTGGGGAGTGTACAGTAACAGTGCCTGGGGAGTGTACAGTAACAGTGCCTGGGGAGTGTACAGTAACAGTGCCTGGGGAGTGTACAGTAACAGTGCCTGGGGAGTGTACAGTAACAGTGCCTGGGGAGTGTACAGTAACAGTGCCTGGGGAGTGTACAGTAACAGTGCCTGGGGAGTGTACAGTAACAGTGCCTGGGGAGTGTACAGTAACAGTGCCTGGGGAGTGTACAGTAACAGTGCCTGGGGAGTGTACAGTAACAGTGCCTGGGGAGTGTACAGTAACAGTGCCTGGGGAGTGTACAGTAACAGTGCCTGGGGAGTGTACAGTAACAGTGCCTGGGGAGTGTACAGTAACAGTGCCTGGGGAGTGTACAGTAACAGTGCCTGGGGAGTGTACAGTAACAGTGCCTGGGGGAGTGTACAGTAACAGTGCCTGGGGGAGTGTACAGTAACAGTGCCTGGGAGTGTACAGTAACAGTGCCTGGGGAGTGTACAGTAATTCAACCTCCAGGAGAGGGGAAAATTTCAATGTAAGCCTAACATATGTATACACATACGCGCGCGCGCGCACACGCACACACGCTGTGTATACGGGGCCTCGTGGCTGAGTGGACAACACTCTTGTGTTGTAGTCGTAAGGGCCCCGGTTCGAGCCCCGGCAGAGGCGGAAACAAATGGGCAGAGTTTTCACCCTGGTGCCCCCTGTTCACCTAGCAGTAAATAAGTACCTGGGAGGTAGACAGCTGCTACGGGCTGCTTCCTGGGGGTGTGTATGTGTTAGAAATGTATAAAGTAGACAGAGGAACGATAGATTGGTTAGATAGGCGGGGCCCAAGAGCTAAAAGCTCGATTCTGCAGACACAAAAAGTAAATACACTGGCTGCCTGTCCCGACAGAAAGTAATAATTATATAGTCAAATGAAGGTCTTACTGAAATTAAAATAATGTCATAATTCCCCCCCACGGAACCCCCCCCTTCCCCCTGGGACCCCCCCCAAGGACCCCCCCCCCAAAGGACCCCCAAGGACCCCCCCAAAGGACCCCCAAGGACCACACACAAACCACAATAGCGTGATGCATCAAATGAACAAATCCACAAATTCGTAGCTCAGTCGATTAAGGCAGCGTCTGGGATGCTGTCGGACGTAGGTTCGAACCCTCGTCACGGCCCTTGTGGAGTTGTTGGTGTGAGGGTAAGTTTGGTGTCCCCCTGGCAGGTGTGTGGTGTTGGTCAAGCAGACAACCTTACCACACCTGCCGCTCACTCCGCCTCGATCACAGGTACACACCTGTGTGGCGGTAATTGGCAGTTGCCTTGTTTAATGATTGGAATGATAAGATCAAGTAATAATCGTGCTAAGATAATGACTTCAAATATTATAAATCCTTCCAATCTGTGTTATTAAAAGACGAGCTACAGATTTTCTGTACAAGGTAACCCACGCCACCCTCCCTACAGCCCTCCACCCTACAGCCCTCCAACCTACAGCCCTCCAACCTACAGTCCTCCACCCTACAGTCCTCCACCCTACAGTCCTGCACCCTACAGCCCTCCACCCTACAGCCCTGCACCCTACAGCCCTGCACCCTACAGCCTTCCACCCTACAGCCCTCCACCCTACAGCCCTCCACCCTACAGCCCTCCACCCTACAGCCCTCCACCCTACAACCCTCCACCCTACAGCCCTCCACCCTACAGCCCTCCACCCTACAGCCCACCACCCTACAGCCCTCCATCCTACAGCCCTCCATCCTACAGCCCTCCATCCTACAGCCCTCCACCCTACAGCCCTCCACCCTACAGCCCTCCACCCTACAGTCCTGCACCCTACAGTCCTGCACCCTACAGTCCTGCACCCTACAGTCCTGCACCCTACAGCCCTGCACCCTACAGCCCTGCACCCTACAGCCCTCCACCCTACAGCCCTCCACCCTACAGCCCTCCACCCTACAGCCCTCCACCCTACAGCCCTCCACCCTACAGCCCTCCACCCTACAGCCCTCCATCCTACAGCCCTCCATCCTACAGCCGTCCACCCTACAGCCCTCCACCCTACAGCCCTCCACCCTACAGCCCTCCACCCTACAGCCCTCCACCCTACAGCCCTGCATCCTACAGCCCTGCACCCTACAGCCCTCCACCCTACAGCCCTCTACCCTACAGCCCTCTACCCTACAGCCCTCCACCCTACAGCCCTCCACCCTACAGCCCTCCACCCTACAGCTCACCACCCTACAGCCCTCCATCCTACAGCTCACCACCCTACAGCCCTCCATCCTACAGCCCTCCATCCTACAGCCCTCCATCCTACAGCCCTCCACCCTACAGCCCTCCACCCTACAGCCCTCCACCCTACAGCCCTCCACCCTACAGCCCTCCACCCTACAGCCCTCCACCCTACAGCCCTCCACCCTACAGCTCACCACCCTACAGCCCTCCATCCTACAGCTCACCACCCTACAGCCCTCCATCCTACAGCCCTCCACCCTACAGCCCTCCATCCTACAGCCCTCCACCCTACAGCCCTCCATCCTACAGCCCTCCATCCTACAGCCCTCCACCCTACAGCCCTCCACCCTACAGCCCTCCACCCTACAGCCCACCACCCTACAGCCCTCCATCCTACAGCCCTCCATCCTACAGCCCTCCATCCTACAGCCCTCCACCCTACAGCCCTCCACCCTACAGCCCTCCACCCTACAGTCCTGCACCCTACAGTCCTGCACCCTACAGTCCTGCACCCTACAGTCCTGCACCCTACAGCCCTGCACCCTACAGCCCTGCACCCTACAGCCCTCCACCCTACAGCCCTCCACCCTACAGCCCTCCACCCTACAGCCCTCCACCCTACAGCCCTCCACCCTACAGCCCTCCACCCTACAGCCCTCCATCCTACAGCCCTCCATCCTACAGCCGTCCACCCTACAGCCCTCCACCCTACAGCCCTCCACCCTACAGCCCTCCACCCTACAGCCCTGCATCCTACAGCCCTGCACCCTACAGCCCTCCACCCTACAGCCCTCTACCCTACAGCCCTCACCCTACAGCCCTCCACCCTACAGCCCTCCACCCTACAGCCCTCCACCCTACAGCCCTCCACCCTACAGCCCTCCACCCTACAGCCCTCCATCCTACAGCCCTCCACCCTACCCTACAGCCCTCCACCCTACAGCCCTCCACCCTACAGCCCTCCACCCTACAGCCCTCCACCCTACAGCCCTCCACCCTACAGCCCTCCACCCTACAGCCCTCCATCCTACAGCCCTCCACCCTACAGCCCTCCACCCTACAGCCCTCCACCCTACAGCCCTCCACCCTACAGTCCCCTACAGTCCTGCACCCTACAGTCCCCACCCTACAGCCCTGCACCCTACAGCCCCCACCCTACAGCCCTCCACCCTACAGCCCTCCACCCTACAGCCCTCCACCCTACAGCCCTCCACCCTACAGCCCTCCACCCTACAGCCCTCCACCCTACAGCCCTCCATCCTACAGCCCTCCATCCTACAGCCCTCCACCCTACAGCCCTCCACCCTACAGCCCTCCACCCTACAGCCCTCCACCCTACAGCCCTCCACCCTACAGCCCTCCACCCTACAGCCCTCCACCCTACAGCCCTCCACCCTACAGCCCTCCACCCTACAGCCCTCCACCCTACAGCCCTCCACCCTACAGCTCACCACCCTACAGCCCTCCACCCTACAGCCCTCCACCCTACAGCCCTCCACCCTACAGCCCTCCACCCTACAGCCCTCCACCCTACAGCCCTCCACCCTACATCACCACCCTACAGCCCTCCACCCTACAGCCCTCCATCCTACAGCCCTCCACCCTACAGCCCTCCATCCTACAGCCCTCCATCCTACAGCCCTCCACCCTACAGCCCTCCACCCTACAGCCCTCCACCCTACAGCCCTCCACCCTACAGCCCTCCACCCTACAGCCCTCCACCCTACAGCCCTCCACCCTACAGCCCTCTACCCTACAGCCCTCCGCCCTACAGCCCTCTACCCTACAGCCCTCCACCCTACAGCCCTCCACCCTACAGCTCACCACCCTACAGCCCTCCATCCTACAGCCCTCCACCCTACAGCTCACCACCCTACAGCCCTGCATCCTACAGCCCTCCACCCTACAGCCCTCCACCCTACAGCCCTCCACCCTACAGCCCTCCACCCTACAGCCCTTCACCCTACAGCCCTCCACCCTACAGCCCTCCACCCTACAGCCCTCCACCCTACAGCCCTCCACCCTACAGCCCTCTACCCTACAGTCCTGCACCCTACAGTCCTGCACCCTACAGTCCTGCACCCTACAGTCCTGCACCCTACAGTCCTGCACCCTACAGTCCTGCACCCTACAGCCCTCCACCCTACAGTCCTGCACCCTACAGTCCTGCACCCTACAGTCCTGCACCCTACAGTCCTGCACCCTACAGTCCTGCACCCTACAGTCCTGCACCCTACAGTCCTCGCCGGTGGACTGAAAGTTGTCTGTCAAGGTTCACAGCATCTTGGCGTTCCATCACAGTTTAACATATCATGTTCTCTAGAAACACGTCGACAGTGTTGAGAAATTAGTTAATTAATGTTCAACTAATTTATTGTGACTTGTTTGTTGGGGACGGCAGTAGTTGAGGGCCGGGCCGCCAGGGTGAGAGTGGCGCCACCGTCACTCCACCAGGGTGAGAGTGGCGCCACCGTCACTCCACCGGGGTGAGAGTGGCGCCACCGTCACTCCACCGGGGTGAGAGTGGCGCCACCGTCACTCCACCGGGGTGAGAGGGGCGCCACCGTCACTCCACCGGGGTGAGAGGGGCGCCACCGTCACTCCACCGGGGTGAGAGGGGCGCCACCGTCACTCCACCGGGGTGAGAGGGGCGCCACCGTCACTCCACCGGGGTGAGAGTGGCGCCACCGTCACTCCACCGGGGTGAGAGGGGCGCCACCGTCACTCCACCGGGGTGAGAGGGGCGCCACCGTCACTCCACCGGGGTGAGAGGGGCGCCACCGTCACTCCACCGGGGTGAGAGGGGCGCCACCGTCACTCCACCGGGGTGAGAGGGGCGCCACCGTCACTCCACCGGGGTGAGAGGGGCGCCACCGTCACTCCAGCAGCCTGGGTCAGGGGACTCGGACACTCACCCCGACACAACCTTTGTTTTACAAGCATTACGGGACCCTCGACTCCCCTCCGGATCACCAGTAAATATCGTGATTTTATGCAGGGTAGTTACAGTGGCCGGCCTGGGGGGGGGGGGCCGGCCGGCGGGGGGGGGGGGGGGCCGGCCTGGGGGGAGGGACGGGCCAAGGGGGGAGGAGGAGGAGGGGGGGGCGGCCAGGGGGGGGGGGGACGGTCAGGGGGCCAGTAGCGCCCCGGGCCTCTCCAAACTTTTTATTTTTAAAAAGCTTCTTAAGTGAAGTTTTTAACTAAGCAGAAGTGTTCAAATTCAGGACAATATATATATGGCAAGGTTCCTTGTGTAAGGGAGGGAGGGAGGGAGGGAGGGAGGGAGGGAGGGCGAGAGAGGGAGAGAGGGCGAGAGAGGGAGAGAGGCGAGAGAGGGAGAGAGGGCGAGAGAGGGAGAGAGGGCGAGAGAGGGAGAGAGGGCGAGAGAGGGAGAGAGGGCGAGAGAGGGAGAGAGGGAGAGAGGGCGAGAGAGGGAGAGAGGGCGAGAGAGGGAGAGAGGGCGAGAGAGGGCGAGAGAGGGAGAGAGAGGGCGAAGAGGAAGAGAGGAGTATATGTGAGAGAGGGAGGGAGAGAGAGAGAGAGAGAGAGAGAGGGCGAGAGAGAGAGGGCGAGAGAGAGAGGGCGAGAGAGAGAGGGCGAGAGGGAGGGAGGGAGGGAGCGAGCGAGAGAGAGCAAGAGAGAACGAGACATTGTTATATATTTATCTACTATGAAGACAATTTCCATGTAGCACGGGCTAAAGTGAGCCCATAAAGAGCGAGCCATTTCGACTTGCCGTTACATACCAGGCCAATGTTGTGAAGGCACTGCACCTGACCCAACCTCGTGGACGGCCAGAAGCTTGCACCATGACTAAAGGCGCTCAGCCAACAACAGCCTCATGCTGGCAGCGACATTCTCAACAACACCACACCATCGGCGATCATTCCTAGACTGACTCGCGTTTACAACTGACTCTCACATCTACCAGTGAACTCCAGTCATACGAATGCTCAGTGTTAAGTCATATTATCTTAACACTGATGAAAACTTATTAAGTTCATCAGTAATGAGTTTCTATGGTTAAGTTTTAGATGAGTTGAGCCGCCTTAGTTACCGTGAGGAGTGCCTCCTTGCTCCTCGGGCCGGCCCCATGGAGCAGGCGGCGTGATGAACTGTCTCACTCTCTCTCTCTCTCTCTCTCTCTCTCTCTCTCTCTCTCTCTCTCTCTCTCTCTCTCTCTCTCTCTCTCTCTCTCTCTCTCTCTCTCTCTCTCTCTCTCTCTCTCTCTCTCTCTCTCTCTCACACATTACCTCGCCTCCATTTCCTCACTCCCATCACTCCACTTCTATTCATCCCCCCACCCCTCCCCTCCCCCCCAACACCCACTCTCACCCCTCCCACATCGCGAATTTTTGGACTACATCATTTTTCGCTTCTCCTTTTTTCCGGCGTTGATGGTGGGATGGAATTATGGCGGTTGGTGGTGGCACTGGGGGGGGGGAGGGGAGGGGGGAGCAGGGGGGGAGGGGGTGGATGAGGCCCCCCCCTCCCTCATCCACCGCCACCAACACCACTCATTATATTCTTAATTGTTAAGTCCAGCATATATGAAGTATCGGATTATACGGAAATCATGATTATTGATATACTTTGTTGGTGTCCCGTCGTCCGCAGTGTTACGGCCGGACACATTGTTTATGCGACGTCTTGTGAGCTCAGCGGTACACAGGCTCCACATGTGGTGGGATAGTTACTGAATCATGTGAGACTAAAGTTTTGTAACTGTGGCAGGGGACGCTGGCCCCCACCGTGACAGGGGACGCTGGCCCCCACCGTGACAGGGGGACGCTGGCCCCCACCGTGACAGGGGACGCTGGCCCCCACCGTGACAGGGGACGCTGGCCCCCACCGTGACAGGGGGACGCTGGCCCCCACCGTGACAGGGGGACGCTGGCCCCCACCGTGACAGGGGGACGCTGGCCCCCACCGTGACAGGGGGACGCTGGCCCCCACCGTGACAGGGGGACGCTGGCCCCCACCGTGACAGGGGGACGCTGGCCCCCACCGTGACAGGGGGACGCTGGCCCCCACCGTGACAGGGGGACGCTGGCCCCCACCGTGACCGTGACAGGGGGACGCTGGCCCCCACCGTGGACGCTGGCCCCCACCGTGACAGGGGACGCTGGCCCCCACCGTGACAGGGGACGCTGGCCCCCACCGTGACAGGGGACGCTGGCCCCCACCGTGACAGGGGACGCTGGCCCCCACCGTGACAGGGGACGCTGGCCCCCACCGTGACAGGGGACGCTGGCCCCCACCGTGACAGGGGACGCTGGCCCCCACCGTGACAGGGGACGCTGGCCCCCACCGTGACAGGGGACGCTGGCCCCCACCGTGACAGGGGACGCTGGCCCCCACCGTGACAGGGGGACGCTGGCCCCCACCGTGGCAGGGGACGCTGGCCCCCACCGTGGCAGGGGACGCTGGCCCCCACCGTGACAGGGGACGCTGGCCCCCACCGTGGCAGGGGACGCTGGCCCCCACCGTGACAGGGGACGCTGGCCCCCACCGTGACAGGGGACGCTGGCCCCCACCGTGACAGGGGACGCTGGCCCCCACCGTGACAGGGGACGCTGGCCCCCACCGTGACAGGGGGACGCTGGCCCCCACCGTGACAGGGGGACGCTGGCCCCCACCGTGACAGGGGGACGCTGGCCCCCACCGTGACAGGGAGACGCTGGCCCCCACCGTGACAGGGAGACGCTGGCCCCCACCGTGACAGGGGGACGCTGGCCCCCACCGTGACAGGGGGACGCTGGCCCCCACCGTGACAGGGGACGCTGGCCCCCACCGTGACAGGGGACGCTGGCCCCCACCGTGACAGGGGGACGCTGGCCCCCACCGTGACAGGGAACGCTGGCCCCCACCGTGACAGGGGACGCTGGCCCCCACCGTGACAGGGGACGCTGGCCCCCACCGTGACAGGGGGACGCTGGCCCCCACCGTGACAGGGGGACGCTGGCCCCCACCGTGACAGGGGGACGCTGGCCCCCACCGTGACAGGGGGACGCTGGCCCCCACCGTGACAGGGGGACGCTGGCCCCCACCGTGACAGGGGGACGCTGGCCCCCACCGTGACAGGGGGACGCTGGCCCCCACCGTGACAGGGGGACGCTGGCCCCCACCGTGACAGGGGGACGCTGGCCCCCACCGTGACAGGGGGACGCTGGCCCCCACCGTGACAGGGGGACGCTGGCCCCCACCGTGACAGGGGGACGCTGGCCCCCACCGTGACAGGGGGACGCTGGCCCCCACCGTGACAGGGGGACGCTGGCCCCCACCGTGACAGGGGACGCTGGCCCCCACCGTGACAGGGGGACGCTGGCCCCCACCGTGACAGGGGGACGCTGGCCCCCACCGTGACAGGGGGACGCTGGCCCCCACCGTGACAGGGGGACGCTGGCCCCCACCGTGACAGGGGGAGACAGGGGGACGCTGGCCCCCACCGTGACAGGGGGACGCTGGCCCCCACCGTGACAGGGGGACGCTGGCCCCCACCGTGACAGGGGGACGCTGGCCCCTACCGTGACAGGGGGACGCTGGCCCCCACCGTGACAGGGGGACGCTGGCCCCCACCGTGACAGGGGGACGCTGGCCCCCACCGTGACAGGGGGACGCTGGCCCCCACCGTGACAGGGGACGCTGGCCCCCACCGTGACAGGGGACGCTGGCCCCCACCGTGACAGGGGGACGCTGGCCCCCACCGTGACAGGGGACGCTGGCCCCCACCGTGACAGGGGGACGCTGGCCCCCACCGTGACAGGGGGACGCTGGCCCCCACCGTGACAGGGGGACGCTGGCCCCCACCGTGACAGGGGACGCTGGCCCCCACCGTGACAGGGGACGCTGGCCCCCACCGTGACAGGGGGACGCTGCCTCTCCAACCCTACAATACCACGTGTATTAATAGGAGTTTAATAGTGGACTAGGACACAGACCCCGGGGCAGCTGTGACGGGCTGTTGCACAAACTGTGTGACAAATCTTGAGTAATAATGATCCAAATCAGTGAAGCTGTATCACTGTTGGGTCTGCCTGCATGACCACCAGTGACTGGTCACATGTGCACTGTCAGTCCCTCCACCAGTGACTGGTCACATGTGCACTGTCAGTCCCTCCACCAGTGACTGGTCACATGTGCACTGTCAGTCCCTCCACCAGTGACTGGTCACATGTGCACTGCCACTCCCTCCACCAGTGACTGGTCACATGTGCACTGCCACTCCCTCCACCAGTGACTGGTCACATGTGCACT